CTAGCCCTCCCCCCTAGCTCCATCTCTACCTCTCTACCTACCTTCTAGCCCTACCCCCTAGCTCCATCTCTATCTCTCTACCTACCTTCTAGCCCTCCCCCCTAGCTTCATCTCTACCTCTTTACCTACCTTCTAGCCCTACCCCCTAGCTCCATCTCTACCTCTCTACCTATCTTCTAGCCATCCCCCCTCCATCTCTACCTCTCTACCTTAGATGATGAGATGGACCCATGGAACCCTTATCTAATCTTTACTAATGCTCTCTATTGTCCAACCTCGTCCCTGTATTCATCTTCATGTTCATACTTCATTTCATTCAAGTAGTTTAACATTCTACTGAGTTCATGCTTATGCTCATGTTCATTTTCATGTGTATTGTGTAGTAAATGCAATACTCTTAAAAGTTCGTCCCCCAAACTGTGTCAGTCCAGGCACAACCAGTAGGCTATCCAATTCAACCAGGACACAACCCACCTAGCTCTAAATGCCACACAGGAACACAAGCTTATCTATCAACAAGCTATAACTCAGGCTCTAAATGCCATACAGGGACACAAGCATAGCTATCTAACAAGCTATTATTCCAGTGCTCTAAATTCCACACAGGAACACGATCTGTTTATCTAAACAGCTTATCAATCTAGCTATCACTCAGAATCTAAAAGCCACACAAGGACACAAACATAGGCCACTTCTCTAACTCTAAATGCAGCGCAAGGACGCAAGTATAGGCTATTTATCCAGCCCTTCTCTAACTCTAAATGCCACACAAGGACACAAGCATAGGCTACTTATCCAGCCCATCTCTAACTCTAAATGCCACACAAGGACAAAATATCTTCTTATCCAGCCCTTAGTTATCTCTAAATGCCCCACAAGGACACATGTATTGGCTACTTATCCAGCCTTTAATCGATCTTTACCCTATAACAAGGTATGATCTCAATTTGTATGTTTCAGCGAAACCAAGTTACTCTACACTGTAATTAAAGTGGAGTAATGATTATAACTGATGTCTATTTCTAAACCGCTGTGTTACATGTAAGTTCCAATACATATTCACAATATTCGGCAGGTATATAATCTAGTCACAATACGTAGCTAGTAGAATCGTATTACAAGTTTTACATTTGTGGATTAAAACAGTTAGATCCTTAGACATTGTACAACGCATTTCATATAGTTAGGTATATTCAAACAGCATTTATTACACATGTTAATGTCCGTGTCCGTGTCCGTGTCTGCGTCTGTGTCCATGTCCATGTTCATAAATGAATAAATGAATAAATGAATAAATGAATAAATGAATAAATGAATAAATGAATAAATGAATAAATGAATAAATGAATAAATGAATAAATTTAACAGGGGGAAAATGAAAAATGTATTTTTGTGTCACCTCCCCCCGACCCCATAGTTCCGAGAAAACTACTAGTCTGTCAGCACCTTAAAAAACATCCTATTCACTTTGTTAAAATTTAAATTATACTTTAAATATTTGCCTTCAAATTAACACGAGGAAGATATCTAGACTAAAGGGAAAGATTGCGAGAATATTTCAGATCGATTTGGAAGAATTTCTTTGACCTTTTATCCGACAAAACATTTAAAGGGATATAGATTTTTGTATATAGACGGGGAGGAGGGGGGGTAACTTAAAAAAATGCTAAAAGTGATAGTGGACCTTCTTTATTCACCTATGACTAAAAGGTTACTAAAACCTTATCACTAAATAAGGAACTAGTCATTTTTAACTGAAGAATAGAAATCAAATAAATTATTGAAATTGAACATGTCTAAACAACTCCTTTTTTACTTTTAATTGCTTAGGTTTTTCTAAAAAAATGATTTCGAGTGGGGGGGGGGGGAAATAAATGAGTTTTTCGGAACAAAGTATCATAGAGAGGTTTAAAAGAATAATGAACATTTTACAGGGTGGGGGTTATCTTATAAATCTTATCCACCCTTTTTTAGTGTTTGGGTCCCTGTGAATGTTTGTATAAAGATTCTCACCTATTTATTTGAGTGTTTATGACAGTGTCTGGAGCTACTACTAATAAGGCTGGGCATGTTCAAACCTGTTCAAGCCGGTTCGTTAACGATTAGTTAAAATCGAAAAAAAAACTTTTATAGTCGCCGTTTGTTTTTTATCTAAGAACTGCACGTTCTGTTCGTTAAGGGTATTTTCAGTTCATTCTCAAAGTCTCCGTTCATTAACGATCTCGATTTCATAAACGGCATTGATATTTTAGAAATCGTTAACGGTATAAGCTTTCTGAAAATTAACACAAGTCGTCGTTATTTTGAAATACATCAGTTCGTTCTTTTTATTAACCGATAGTTTGTTTTTCAAGAATAGTTATTTCCATTTGTTTACAATTGCAAAATTTACAGGTTTTGACGTTCGTTGACGGACTATTTTATTAATTTTCAAAATCTTGCCGTTCGCTAGCGAAATGTTTCCCATCCCTACTCATGCTGCAAGAATTCAAATAAAAACAAGGAAGTATCTAGGCCAGTATAGACATATACAGATAGATAGGTGTAGATAAGATAAGATAAGATAAGATAAGATAAGATAAGATAAGATAAGATAAGATAAGATAAGATAAGATAAGATAAGACAATGCTAATGTAATGCTAAAGACACTTAAAAGTTATAATGTAACAGGCGAAAATGTGCAACTATTTATAAATTGTTTACTATATGTATTACATGCATTATATAAGTCTGATTCACTGTATTAACTATTAAGAAGCTAAATTGTTTTTCTGTCATAAAATAAAATAAAAGCGGTCAATTTCCTTCCCAATTTCTGCTACATAAATCCGTAATTGAAAATTTATGAATTGAGATGCATTGGAAATACAAGGATAAGGTTTTAAAATAAAATATATATAAAATGGAATTAATTATGATCTCTTTTGTTTATTTCTCAAAGTTACCAATACATTGACGTTATTCTTTTAAGAATTTGAACTGTTCTTGAAAACCTAGCATTTTGAACTGTTCTTGAACATCTCGAAACCCTACTTTAGTTTTCTGTGTTTAGTTAAGCGTGAATATTGAATTGTCTAGAATTATGATTCATCATATTTTAAAAACTTGAAGAACTATTAGTATACCGTAAACTTTAACAAAAATATCACTTTCAATACAGAACACAAAAATTACATGGAACGGATTTACAAGATTTTTTGTGTGTTTTGGCTCCATTTGATCCGCAAATTTTGTCTCCACGTATCTGTTAAAGTATTTAGATTAGCGGATCCGGATCCAAGTGAAAATATTATGGAAAATAACGCCTTAATTCCGCTACCTATTCTTTAAAAAAAATGTCATCAAAATATTATTTTCCCTTCCCCTAAAATAAAGCCTTTTCCTCTACCTCTGTAAAAAACCATATTTTTTATTCAAAACATATTTTTACCTAGGCAGAAAAGACTGCAGGAGTCTAGGGGTAGATAAAGCGGTTCCTTGGAGCATTTAGGTTTTAAAGCACTTTTTTACCAAAACTCACAAACTCCTAAAAACAAATTAATTAAAAAACTAAATTTTCTAACATTCAACTTGGTTGCTTGGGGTAAAATGATAGTGGGTATAGGCTGAAGCCTACATATTTTGGGAGTTGATCGCGACCAATATTAGTTATTTCTGATGTTGCTGTCATATATATGTACGAGTTTTTTTGACACAGTTTTATATCAATTTTCTCGGTGCAGGGACATCCGATAGAACTCAGATTGGTATCGATCAACTCCTAAAATGTTTAGGCTTCAGCCTATACCCCTTTTTATTTTACCCTAACAATCGCTTTAAAAAAATAGCTTTTTCTTAGAATTCTGCCCTCTCTGCCCTCTGCCTGTCAAGCAAATAAATATATTTTTTATTATTACTGAACTACTTTATGTAGATTTATAGATCTAATAATATTTAAATCGTGTGTCTCCGTCTAGGACAAGAAATGCCAACGGTAGTACGCACATAATTATGATTATTTGATTAAGAACAATTTAAATCCATAAACATTATAGCTCCCCTTTTTTATTTTGTATATATTTGTTAATTTTTAAGGCAATTTTTTACTTGATTTAAAAGCCATACAGAGTTTCCCCGAGTATAATTTGAAAAATTTGCACGGCAAACCCTAATGCAAAAATGTAGCATGTAAATAATGCCCATACAATGCAGTTCCGCATGCTCTCATGCAAATTATTAATAATTGAAGAATTTAAATACAATGGATTGTTGTTTTGAATCTGTACATAAACAATAAACATTAACAATATCTTAACATCTTTACATTTTATATTGAAGCACAGGGCTTATAAGCAATATTTGTAATTTTTATTCAAATTCAACGCCAGCATATTAACAAGTTAAAATTGAATATCCAAAATACTTCAAAATTGTTTTGTAATTTTAAATGTTATAAAAAATCAAATCTCTTGTTGCTCAAATTTGAAAAAATCGGTTTAACTCCACGCTTGACTTTAACACAATATGTGCACCAACGATTTCTAAAAATAAAGATTGGCCAAAACATAAAATTAGATTTGAATATTCGAAAAATAATTTTGTTTTAGACCCAGTCATGCCAACATTTTAATCTACCCTCCCCCTCGCCTATTTTCCCTTACAGATTTTTTAAAATATCTACAGTTCACGCCCCCCCCCTTGCCGTGCCTGCCATTTTTAAAGAAAATATCTACATATCTCCCCCCCGGCTCCCTTTCTAAACAAGCACCTGCATTTTATATAAACATAAAATTACATAACTTAGATACGATTACATAAATGAAAGACTGGGACGTAATCATATCTGTACACTGTAGAGTGTAGAGTCAACTGTACATTTAAATGAACAATTATACAATAGTTATAATTCAATTTACCCCCTACTTATTAAATATTAAATACATTAATAAAATCAAGAATCTGGCAGAAGGCATCTCGACTGAGAATAATATTTCAAAAAGATTGAAATCAACCCAACAATAAATAATACTAACAAAGGAAAATCAGACTAGGATTAATCTCGGGGTTTTGATAGGAACAGGTCACTTTTAAATGTCCTTTCAGGAGTGTCCAGACATCATCAGGAATATATTTTAGTTACCTTTTTAAAATTTTGTATTTCTGAAAATCTAAATTAAAAATGAGTGTTTGATTTAATAAAGTAAATGAAGAGAAAAGAAGGCCTTTAAGAACCATGCTTTGCACAAATCAAAAGAGGTGTGTTTTGTATATCTTAAAAAATAAACCTTTCTTAATTGAACATTTTTTATGCTACAAAAATAATGAACTTGCACATTTTAGAGCTAAATAGTAATAAAGTCTAAATCTTTCTATTTCTTCTATCCTCTCTAACAGCTTGAAATCGCGTTTTTACACTCCAAAATTGTAATATCCTGATGCCTGATTCAGGCAGTATGTAAAGGGCAGAGTGAGAATAGTAAATTATATCAGATTTACTTGTTATGATGAATATCCCCTGGTCTCGGCTAGACCTGGAGAACCAGTGGAACCAGGCGCCGCCTGGAACTAGAGATGGCAATCCATTTTTTTGGAATTGTAAATGGACTAATCATAATTTCAAGTGACCTTTAATTTGTAGATAGGCATGTCCTATTCACAACAGTATCCATTAATGCTTTTTGAGATCAATACTCAAAAATATATATTTTTCTCTTTAAAAATCGATTATATATTCGTGGTTTCTTGGTGACTGAAACAATAGAGGAAATTTGAGATAGAAGACCAGAAAACATTTAAGACAGTCCATTTTATCGAGACTCGAGTAAAATTTTAGCACATTGTATCAAAAGCAAAACGTAAAAAGAATAATTTTGTGAATATATTTACGCCTTTTAGAAGTAAAAAATAAAATGTTTAAGAACAAACCAAAATCGATCCCCGTCCCTAGCTTAAACCTTAACCAAGCAAAAACAGTGCAAACCTTCTCATTTATCATATTATCTGAGCAGCACCTACATTCAATACCGACCTCCATTAGACAATATTTTTGTAAAAACCGACCAACTATCCTTAAAGGGGCTGTCAACGTAAATTTAAGTGATCCATTAACGATTTACAATACCTTTTATGGCAGAAATTATTGCGTAGATTGAACAACTACTTTTTAAAGATCTAACTGAAGATTACTTTCGATCTCCTCGTTCTATTCGTTCTTCTCATTATACTCGTTCTTCTTTTTGTTCTCAATGTTCAAATTGTTCTCAATGTTCAAATTGTTCTCCTCGTTCTATTCATTCTATTTGTTTTATTCGTTCTATTCATTCTATTTGTTCTATTTGTTCTATTTGTTCTATTTGTTCTATTCGTTCTATTCATTCTATTTGTTCTATTTGTTCTATTTGTTCTATTTGTTCTATTCGTTCTGCTCGTTCTATTCGTTCTCCTCGTTTTATTCCTTCTATTCGTTCTTCTTATCCTATTTGTTCTCGTCATTCTCCTCGTTATATTCGTTCATCTCGTTCCCCTTGTTCTATTTTTTCTCCTCACTCTATGTGTTCTCCTTGTTCTATTCATTCTCCTTGTTCTATTTGTTCTCCTTGTTCTATTCATTCTCCTCGTTCTATTTGTTCTCCTTGTTCTATTCATTCTCCTCGTTCTATTTGTTCTCCTTGTTCTATTCATTCTCCTCGTTCAATTTGTTCTCCTTGTTCTATTCATTCTCCTCACTCTATTTGTTCT